GAGGATGGGCGAGGCGGTGCCAAACCGCTTGGGTTTCAGCCCCCGGGCACTGGCTGGGGAGGGGGAGCTGCTGTGAGGGGCGCCCAGGCTGAGGGAAGCCGCTGGCGGGAGCCTGGCCCCACATCGCCGTTGGCTTCGGCCGGCCCTGTGCTGCTGCAGTGAGGAGGAGCGGTGCAGGAGAAACGCAGCGGAAAACTGCACGGAGCCAGGCTGCCCCAGAGGAGTTAACGCAGGGTTCACCTCATGAGGTTGTTAACAAGCCGCACGGCAGCGGTTGCTCCGGCAGGTACCCGTGCCCGTGTGAGGCAAAGCGAAGCTGTCCCACTTCTGACCCAAATAACGAGTGGGAATGGGTTCATTGTTTGTATCTGGGAAAAAAAAACCTCAAGTGACTAAGCCAATCTCATGGTTTTGAGCGGACTGACTCATAACCGAATTCTGAAACCCCCAGGCGAGAATCCATTATATTAGTTGTTAATTTACTCCTTTTTTTTTTTTTTTTTTTTTTCTCCTTAAACTGGCAAATCCTGCAAAAGTCTCGTTCAGTTGGGATGCAAATGGTAGGGAAAGCTTAACATTACCGTGAAAGTTGAAGAGAAGAAAGGGAAATAAATAACTTTGTTTCTTTGGCTGCTGAGAGAGGAGGCAGTGGGAAGAAGGTTGATCCACCTCCCCCCGATAAGGACGTTTGCCTCTCCGTTTACCAAGTACAGCACTTCATGTGTGCTCATGACAGCGAATGATTTTCTGTATCGGCCTCTGTCCTTTCAGCAGGCACACCCGTGCTGCCGCTCCCTTGTGATTCTAGCAAGTGTTGCTCTTCTGTCCCAGGGCAGAGAACTAGCAGTAAAAACGGCTGTTTAATATGAAAAGGGAGGAACAAAAGGGGAGACAAATGTATAGGACTTTTGCATACAGCATTTCAAAGGTCTGAAACCCCCTCTCCCCTCGGGAGTCTCATTTACAAGGTAAATAAAGGACTGAAAACCCTTACTTAGCTCATCCGCTTGAAGGCAAAATTCCCTTCTGCCCACAGCGCTGCCTAAATAAAGAGGCTGTTTTTGCTGGAAAAAGCCCCTTCAAATAGCTGATACACAAATGAGAACAGTACTTCCCACTTGAAAGCTGGTTAATTCGAATACCAATACTGTTAAATGCTGTAGCTGGTGGCAGAAACCTACATGCGCATAAAGGCACTGCCTTGTAATTCAGCATCATTTAAAACGCCTTCAAATACTATCCCATCTTAATACAGTTTCATTGTAAAGTCTCTTAATTTACCACAATATTTTGCAATAATGCAAGTTTTGCAAGTTCTATTGTAAAAGGAAACTTTATTGTTTTGCAGAAACTTACTTACCTGCTGGGAAGTTTGCTCCTCAGTTCTCTTTTATCATTCATTTTTGCCATTTTAACGGTCTGTTATTGCATTACCACTTACTGCAGTGCCCAAATCAGTTTTCTTTATATCTATCCTTTATGCCAGTGGCCATGAATTACAGCTCACAAACAGCATGCTGTATTTCTGACTTAAAAAAAAAAAAATGCTATATTTCTTTCAGTGTATCCATGCTCTTAAGATTCATGGAGTAAAGTAATGTTCTTAACAACTTGGTACTGACTTAATTACTTTGTGAAGTGATCAACAACGAACGTGGTCCATGGCTGGGGAAATAAAGTGTTGTCTGATGTTAGCTAGTGAGCTGAATAAGCTACTCCCAGTTTAGCTGCCTCCCAGTAACTGCTGTAATTGTTTTTATCCCACAGGAAATGAAAAGTGTTTGGGAATGGCTCAACCTTCCAAATCAAACTCCTCACAATTTTGCTGTATCGAAAGACCTGTTCTCATGACAGCACCCAGGAGGTGAAGGGATTTATATGTATGACTTTTCTGAAGCAACCAGGACCCACACATCTGTTCTTTCAGGGTGGAGGAGGGTATCTTCCTGGAGTGTTGCAAGAACTGGTTGATCACTATGGGAGGTGTCCTGCTGTCCATGTAAAGGTTCCTCCCAGTGCCCAGAGCTTTAGGAGCTCTGAAGACTTTCTTCAGAGATAAGGACTTTGCCTTTTTTTCTAGGCACCATAAGGGCTTTGCTACTTCTCCAGTCATTCAGGTAATGGGATTCAACGGGGAAAAAAAGAAAACAGCGCTGTACTGTATTTGGGGGGATTAAGACACAGAAAGCCAAGGTGGCTGCTGTGTAGAGAAAACCTAGAAACATTACTTAAAGCACCAAGAATCTGAGGGGCCATGGTAGTGCCAACTTTGAGCCCATAATGGCACAAAAACAGTGTTGGGGAGGGAGCTCTTTTTCCTCTGCCCTCACCACTGCCTGTCATAAAGTACTTACAGGCAGCAGCTATATTCCCTGGTGGGCTTTGCCAGGAGGGGTGTTTGCTTATGGGTCTGCTGACTCCTTGAGTCTCAGGTTTTCCATTTAAAATGAACCTAATCTAGGCCAGGATCCCCAGAGGCACTGTCAAGCAAAGCTGCCACAGAGCTCCTCCAGCATGAGGTCCAAGAGGTGCTGTGAGCTTTGCTGGAGGGAGGTAGATGAAGCTGTTTTCACTGTGGTCATAGAGGCCCAAAGGCTGTTTGTTACATGATGTGGTGCCTGTGAGAAGGAACAGAAGTCACTGCTGAAGGAGGTCCTTTTTGCTTGTCATGATTATAACCACATTTTTACAACCCTGATAAAGTGCTTCTCCTTCCTTTGGAGAACTTGGCTTTGGTCCTTCTTGTTGAACCTCTTTTCTTTTTGGACAGCTGCTATCACTGGATAGTCTCTCCTGAGGTTTTCCCAAAGCCTTATACTTTGGAGTACCCAGAGCACTGAAACAAGACTACAGAATAAGTTTTAACTTGCTGTGGCCTGAATTGCAGAGGCCAGAAGTGGGTGGACACAATAAGCCAAGTAGCAAAGAACACCAATAGCAAATGTTACATTCCAAAAATTCAGTAATGCAAGCCTGGCTTCAAACTCTGTATTTCTAAATTTGCAGGGAAATTGTAACGAATGCATTTAATTTGTCAATGTAAGGAAGTTCAGTATGGACCAGTTCAAGTCAAGCTGAAACAAATTTGAAGTCTGGGCAAGCCTTTAGTAGATCATGTGGAGGCTTGGCTCAGTATGTTCTCTGTTTCAATTATCTATTCAGACCTCATGGCTGAATTATTTGTGACTTACTCATCCTTATCTTCAACATGAGCCTTCTCTCCTCTCATGCAATCATCTGGTTTAGGGCTGCAGTCTCAAAAAAGACCTGCAAGTCTTACATCTCACTTTCCTTTCATGTTCTGTCACCAAACCCATCAGGGTATAAACAAAGGTACGCATTTTCCCAAAGCCACTTGCAATTCCAAAAAGAGCCTGTGTGATGCTAAAAAATGCATGTGGGATCAACAAACTCGCTGCTGCACTGTCTGTCTCTCACTGAATCATGGAGTTGTCAGAAGGGAGAAGGAAATTTTGAGTAGCTGGAGATGCTTTGTGCTCAGACGCACAGCACACAGACAGGATACCTCCATCTGGACTTGGGATACATCAGCCCTGATCCAGTGCCTGTGAGACAGCTCAAAACTGTAAGGGCACAAAAGAGTAATTAGCTTCTCACTCATTATTACATTCATGAGAACTGAAATATGACAAGAAGCCAAAATCTGTCACTTTAAAAAATACTGAATCCTAAACTGCACATGGAAAATCACCAGTATTTGGAGGAATGCAGTTTGATCTTATGGAGACAGACAGACAAAGAGACACTGGGGCACATTTTTCTCAACAGAAATATTTCCAGCTTCTTTCTCAAGCCTTCAGAACACCTTCATCTCTTAGTCAGTGATTTTTCCTTAAGGTATCTCAAGGGATTTATGTTATCTAACATTGGTGTTACAGGCAGCAGTTACTCGACAATGCTGATGCAAAGGTACAGGCATGGAAGTGTGGGAAGAGAAAGCCTGAGGTTTTTGGTAGCTGCTCTGCGTCAGGTAAAACGAGCTTTCCTCACAATTTGGCAATAGGAGCCTTTCTAAAAGGAGATAGAGCAGTACTTATTTCTCCCCAGGGCAGGAAGAAAGATCTGTACTTCCTGGTGAGAACTAAAACATTTTATAGAGCTTGAAGTTGAAGGCAGGTGCAGGAGCCAGAGTGATTCTAGAAGCACAGACCAGGAGAATATGCCTTTTGTCTACCCATTTTAATTACTCACCCAAGGAGCTGTTCAGACCTCGAAAATCAAAGTAGAAATTCACTTGTGTCATACATATTCGTTCATTTCTGCAGAATTCCAACACACCGATTGCGCAGAGCAGTTCAAGCACTTGGGAGCTCCACTTATTTTCAGGCATCATGTGCTGTCTCCCAACACTTCCTGAGTGATGATAAGCCATGTCTGGGTTCATAACATCCAAAATCCATGCTGCCAGACTGCTTTTGGCAGTGCTTAACTGCTGTGGCTCTCAGAGGTGCAAATGGTAATAACTTCTTCATACAATAGTGGAGAAATGCTTACGGCAACAAGAGGTACGATACCCCAGTGGCCTCTGGTAATGTGAGAGATGTCCCATACTCACTTCTAGCCTCTGTTTTCAAAGGGATGATAAATGGACTGGGAAAAATAAAGTTTTCCTTGATGAGTACTGAGGTTCTGTTCTGCCCCTGCAATTAAGTTTAAAGTTATGAAGTCCTAATGTGTTTGTCTACTCCCCATTAAGTGCTGTATTTGAAACCACTATATAAACTGGATCAGGTCTTTTGCTCACAGCTGCGAAAGATGTGCAAAGTAGTTTCTGACTGCCTGGTTTGGAGCACCATGCAGAAAAGGTGGATTAGCCAGAGAATTTAATTTTCTACTTCATATTGTTACATTTAGCTTCTGCCTTTTAAAATGTTTCCACTATTATCAGTGCCACTTAAACATAATTACAAAATTCCTTCTGCAGTTTCTCAAAAAGGAAAGCCTCCCTTAAATCAATACACAAGTCAGACGGTGATGAATGCAGTAGTCTAAACTGAATTTATTGTTTCCAGACATTAATGCAATACATAAACACATTAAAAGGGAAGGATATAGGAACAAGCAACCCATTAACAGAAACACTGAAATTTATGTTCTATACACATGAAAATATCAAAAAAAGTTAAGTAGTTGTCAGTCAACATAGCAAGGATTACAGATTATAAAATAAATTCAAACAACTAATTAATGAGTTTGTCATAATCAAAATGGTTTTTTGTTTGCTTGGTTGGATTAAAATTTATTTTTAGGGTAAAAAATAATAACCATTACCTCATGCAGTGTAAAATGGCTTTAAAAGAAATCCAGTAATGCAAATGAAAGACTAATTCCAGAGGCCTTTTTTTTTTTTTAAACACCAAAAAATCCTCAAGGGGGTTCACAAAAATAATTTCAGTTAGTTTTCTTAAATCCTTTCTTAGCATTGAAGAGGAAACCTGTAACGTTCTTGCACTCCAGAGACTTACTCAGAAGTACCTTTCAATACAGATACAGTCTTACAATGTATGTGAGTTCTTCAATTTACAAGAGCTTCAAATGTGATTAAGTTCAAAAGTGTTTTCTTAGTGTTTTCCAATTATTGAGGTACATAGTTAAAAATTAATAAAAAAAGGGTAGCGGGATATCAGCTGTATGTACACCACATGCAAATAAAGAAGGCAAATCTTAAATACATAGTTATGGTGCACAAGGGAGACGTGAAAGAAGGATCAGGGAAGAAAACCAGCAACAATCAACAGTTACCCAGCAGGACTTTAAACCAAAGCCCCTGCAGATCCCCACTAGTTGCAAATAAAGCATGTTTATCAGCACGTCTGGCGAGCTGGGCTACGGAGAAGAGCCTGTACAATAGTCACAATTACAGCGGACTGCCCGACAATGCTGAGAATGTAAATGCTGCTCCAACAGCTGCACCGCATCCCAAGCAACCACACAAAGACCAACAGAGCCATCAAATGATGAGCTCCTGATGGCAACAGCAGGGCCACGATTACAGAGCAGTAGCTTCTACAGCAAATAACAATATATGGCAAACAGGAGACTGAGTTAGCAAAATGCAGTATAAAAAAGTATAAAAGTTGTTTTTAAAAACTGCCTATAAAGTTCTCTTGGGAAGGAGGAATATTTAGTCTGCGGCATTATTACAATAACTGAAGTGGCTGTATCAGATTGCTGGTGATTGACTTCTTGTGAATCAGAGGTGCATTTCTGAAATGCCCCAGGGTGAATGCCTGAAAGCTGCCCAGACAGTCGGGGAATTTTAGTATCTGCAGCAGAATCAGCTGTGTTTGTAGAGGGTGGACTGACACTTGGGTCGGAAATCTCTCTACTTGGTATGCAGAGGATACTGTGACACAAAGGGTCTCACAGACAATTGTCAGTTCATTCCCAAGTCTGTACCCCAAACACAGGCCCAAGTATATTTTGAGTTTCTGCCTTTTGAACCTGTCTTGCTGGGGAAGGTGTCTGGTTGCACAGCTGGTGAGGGACTGGTGAGTCCCCACCAAAACCATCAGGAAAGGCTACTCTCAAGGAAAGACATTTTGAACTTAAAAAAAAAGGAGGAAAGTGTGAGCTATTAGCTCAGGCAAAAAAACAAGTTGCTGTCCTTCAGGATTACCAAACCCCAATTAATCATCCTTGGTTAATAAGCTTTTTGACAGCAAAGTCTAGTATGGGTCCCTGCTCACACTGGCTACTAGCCATGACTGCTGTGAGCCTTGACTTAAGTGAGGCGGATCCCAGCTTCTACATCCTGTTAGGGCTAGGCAGGGATATCTTCCCACTTCAAGTCCACCTGAGGGATCCTCCTGCTACTTCTCCCCACTGTTACCCTATTCGGCAAACCTCAGATTTGCAGTGGGCTCTATGAGTTCCATCTGCTTTGAAGCCTGAGGCAAACTGTGCAGTTTCCATCCAAATTCTCAAATCTTCTTTCAAGTTCTTCAGTAGATTTTTTTATCTCAATCTGGGACACTGTTTAAAGCCCAAGGAAAACTTTTTTAGAGATGAAAAATGCCACAACAAGGGATGCAAAAGTCATCTCTCCCAGATTTCCAAGTCATAATGGCTGTTGATCCAAGCCCCAGTCAATCCTATCTATTCTTCAGCTACATAGAAAGATCTTAATCTTAAAGAGTACAGTGGAGTTATTTGCTCTTCAAGCTGGTCTGACCCAAGTCCAGCAAAAGCAATATCCTCTTTGAACACCTATGTGTTCCAGAAATCTGATACTTTCAACTCAAGAACATACTGTAAATGAAATATAACGTTACAAAAAAAGAATAAAAATCAAGATTTACAACAGTGAAGATCCATTTCATTTTCTCTTAGCAGCTGTTTCTAAATCCCTTTGAACTGCTCTGTAACTTCAAACCAGACACTCAGTACTCTGCCTCCTTCCTCTCTCTTGATGTTATCAATTTAGCCACAGATTAAACATTTTGAAAACACTGACATTATACAATTTATGTGGAAATGTCACGAGCCAAGAAGTAAAAGACTGAGCCTTAACATTCAGGAGAGCAGCACAACGTCTCTTGCCATCTCACCCCTTATAGAGTTGGAGGGTTGGGGTGTTAATTTCTTTTGTCATTTTTATCTTAAGCACGAGCTTAATTCCCAAAACCACATTCAACTGTACATTTTATGAGGCTTCAGAATATCCCCCCCCCCACTCAAAAAGAATCAATGTTAGATAGAAATTATTTAATACAAGGTCCTTCTGGAGCCCACCATCAAAGGGTGGTTATCCAGGAGTAGTCATCTTCCTCGATCTTGATGTTTTCTTGTTTTTGTTTTTTTCTTCTTGTCCTCTGTTTTGGGTTTCAACGCACAGACACATGCAGACACACCAGCAATTGCTTTGGGTAAGTCAGTTCCTTTGTACCACTTATTTTTCTCCTTATCATAAACCTGGACTGTTTTGGAGAAGACCGTTTCTTCCCAGCTGTAGCCTCCGAGGATGTAAATCTTTCCTTCCCAAACTGCCACCCCTGACTCACTGTTTGCTTGCAGCAGAGGAGCAACTCTGGTCCACTGGTTACACTGAGGGCTGTAGGACTCCACACTCAGAATGTCAAAGCGAGCCATGGTTTCTATGTTGTCATCGCTGCCACCGATGGAGTAGATGTGGTCCTGTAAGGTGCACATGCTGTGCCACCCTCGGGCAACAATCATCGGCCTCTTCTCCTCCCAGACATCCGTGCGGTAGTCGTAACACAGCAGGTTTTTTCTGTAGGGGCCGATTTGGTAATCATGGCCTCCTGAAATGTACACAAATTCCTTGAAGACTGTTCCAGCATGGCCGTAGGTAAACCTAGGACAGGAAATCAAAAACAATCCGGCTTAGTGCTTACGGATTTCACCAAGACAGACAGTGTTCAACAGGGATTGCTACTAAAGAACAAAATAAACAGTAACTAAAGACAAAGGAATCCTTAATCCTCTTAGTTATCAAGTAACTATTCTCATCCACAGTGCTCCACCCTGTGCTGCAGAACGCTAAGGTATGACAATCACTTTTTAAGACATCCTCTACAGTGTGTCATACAACAGAAGTAACCCGTCCTGCTCTAGCTGGCATGGCCTTCACTTCCATTTTCCTGCTCCAGTGTTTGGGTTGGATAAGTTTGAGAAAGTCAGAGAGGAAAATATCCACATTCAGCAAGGGTTTCTATGACAGAAAGAGGAAATAATCACGATATCTCTCAGACTTATCGGTAGCTATTAACCAAGAAAACTGCTGCTGCCTTCCCCTTTCACAGCATCAGGATCACAAATCACATTTCTTACCCGCTACTATCCATGAGCCAGTGTATCTGCAGTCATGATACATGCAAGTGTCCTTTTCATGAGTATCCCTCTGTTTTATCACTTCTATACAGGTAATAAACTTCTTTGGTCACCCCAAGACAAGGCAACAGACCTCAGTCAATCATAGCTTAGCCTCCACATTTTGAAACAAGACAAACTGAGGTGGCGGAACCACCACCACATGTGCTGTTTCCACAGGGCAGAAAGAAAATCCCTTTGATCAGCTTTAATAAAGCCACTACAAACCTATTTTTTTGAGGCTTTTCTATGACTTCACACAAGGATATTCCCAACCAAACCCCTCTGAGCTCTTAAGAGTGGAATGCTAAGGCAAAGGACAGCATTGTCTTCTTTGAACATAGCCTTCCTGCACATGCCTTTTTCCTTTTTCTTGGGTGTGCAGGGTGTCAAAAGATGTAGATGCAGCACCAGCCACAGCAGCCTGGTTCACACACTGGCACAAAGAGCCAAATTTAATACCCACAAGGCTGCAGAGCAATATACTCCTCATGCTGTACTCACCAGCTTCTACTACCATCCTTTGTAGTCAAGGACGCAAGAGGACTCAATCTCTATGGCAGGCAAAGCTACATTAGCATTACTTTAGCCTGGAATGCTTTTGAACCATGTCTGAACATGCTTGAAACAATGTGGATAGAAGCTTGAGCCATTTTTATTTTACATGGTAATAGTTTCAGCAATGCAAATGGTATCATAAGCTCTTCCACACGCCTCAGCGCCAAGCACTTTTGTGCCAAAGGAAAAGGTGGAATAGAAAAGAAACCCCACATCCACCCCGAAAGCACAACAGTTCTGAGAAAAGCTAAAAGATGTTTATTATTCTAGATGCCTATGGAAGCTTCTGATCCCTTACTGGTGTATGAATCAGATCTTTGAACAGGCTCCTGCTACAAGAAACAGAGAAATCCTTGACACACTTGGCTTGAGAATGCTGAGTGACCAGACCGGACCTTTCAACTACAAGAGCTGCAGCCCCATCCCTGGAGACCTTGCAGAGATTACTTCAGAACTGCACTGCTTCTTAAGTCACACAGGAAAAAGAGAGAAAAAAAAAAGGGGGACTAAGCATAGTTATGAGACTTTATCCCAAAAAACAACTCAAAAATTCCACAGCTCACAACCCCCTAACCACAGAAGCACAGAACTCACGCTCAGTGCTTCTCTTTGACATGACATACCCTGAGCAATGCTCTCCAGCTTTCACACCTCACAGAAAAGCTGTGGCAGGGGAAGTGTGCATAGCTGCTGCTCCACCTTGTTTGTGGTCACTTATGGACAAGAACCAGGAGCTTATGTCTCCAGTGGCACCCAGTGTGGTTGCTGGAATCTTTGGCTTCTCTATATACCCAGGGATGGGTCTTAAGAAGTAGACTGCCTATCTGAGAAGCGGAATGGACAACTTGAATTAGTCTCCTTTCTCAAACTGCAACAGATTTTAAACCCACATCTAACCAGCAAGCCACCTGGAGGACGTGCAACACACTCCACTGCGGAGGCAGTGTCAAGTAACATATTGTTTTGAGGAGCCAAGAGAACAGTGCAATGACATTGGATCCAGCACAAAGCCCAGGATTATTGAGCTGCTGATAATAATCACATTACATTCAGCATTTTAATTAAAATTAAAAATAAATGGCAGCAAGTTAAAGAAAACTTGTGTGACCTCTGTCGAAGTTTTGTTTTCCTACAGTAATTGCGAAGTGGAGTTCTGTAGAGGTAAACAAGAAACAGGTATTTTCTCTCAAGCACATGAATGCAGCCTAGCATAGACAGCTACAGAAAAAGCTTATGCTTTTTGCCTCAATCAGTGGCTATGCTTAGTGAACAGCAATAGCTACAAAAGTAATCTGAAAGAGGCAATCATATCTGAAGCATCAAATCGACCATCAATTTGTTATTTTTCAATTCAGGGAGATTACTCATTGAAATACACTGGAGGTGTTTCACTTTGCCTGACTTTTGAAAAGCTCATCCAAAATTGCACATACCCTGCTTCACGTTAATAGAAAACGGAATGAAATATTATACACGAGTTGAAAACAATCAATAGAGATCCTCTCTGCAAGCCTATGGCATTTCTAAACACAAAACATAACAGGAAACTTCAATACAGTGGGTACAGACATCCTCCAACAGAAAGAATCAAGTGTTCTCCAGCGTTACCAGTATGAGTGATCAGAAGACAGAAGCATTAAGGGGAAAGGAGTTTCAATGTAGAACTGCTGCTAGAGCCAGTTGCCAATTCTGAATGACTTACTCGATACAGCGCTGCAAACTTACAGTTTCTGACCCAGTAACACCATTCAGTAAATGCTAAAGAACCTACCACTTATTTTCTTGCACAAGAACACTGGGCCAGGCTGGATAAAGCTTTGGGAATTCCCTGCTCCAACCAAAGTCCAGGCAAGCTGTGGTTGCTCTGAATCTCGGTGTCCACCTGCTCCAACCCTGCAAGGTTATTCATGACACAACTAGCAGAGCAGATACCATCACTCCTTAACCTGTCCCAACACATTTCCTCTCACAACTGCCTTCAGTTGTTCTGCCAAACTTTAACCTAGGGCCACTCAGTTAATTTCACTGATGTCTGCAGCAGGCTTTTCTTCATGGTCTATCCAAGATGAGAACGCATTGCACCAACTTCTGTTCTGCCAAGCTTGTCAGCCACCGCTGCTCCCTTCTGGGCTAGAAAGTATGGCAGCAAATGCTCCCAGAGAGCCTGGGAAAATGGTGAAACCAAAACACAGGACCTCTCTGAAGAATGGGAAAAGTATCCCACAACCAAGGACCCTTATGAGAGTCAGGCAAAACTCACTTATAGCAGACTTGAACCAGGCCCACCCTTCAGATGGCTTGGCTATCAAGCAGCCTGCCCCTGCATTCAGAAAGGTTTCGTCCCTTGTCCACCTATGCACTGATTTTTGCCTTTTGCAAACTGCATAATGTATTTTTTGCTTTACTCTTTCTGTGGAGGGAAATGGTTGTTGCAAACAATATGCTGCCCAAGGAGAGAGTTCTCCAAAAGAACAAAGAGGGCTGAAAAGACAGAAAAGCTGAAGGTACTAAGTGTCCACTAAGATCTAACTAAAGACATATTAACATGGAAGAGAGCAGTTGCATGGAAGTTTGGGACACTATCTAGTTCCCTAGACACACTTGAGCTGGCTCAAAGGACAGTTAGCATGGGATGAGGACAGAGCAGGCAGAAAGAAAGGATGCCAAACTATGTTTTCGGGATGCAGCAATAGCTTAAAACAGTCACTACAGCCCAACCCTGCAGCTTAGTGACCAGTCAAGTCAGTTTAAGTGGGGTCTATCCCATAAGGGGGATTTTTGCCAAGTCCAAGTGGATCAGCTATGCAATCGAATGAAAAACTAACATGCCCTATGTCCAAGTTCACTTTTACATGCTGCAGCTGTAAAATTCCCAAAGCCAGCACTCAGGTAGCAAGAGGAACATGCAAACTGTGCCTTTTTGGACAGCTTGCAGTGTGGCTGCTTAAGCCAATTGTGCAAGCTTCCCCAGGATCACTTATGAGCAAAAAGATCCATACCTGTTCTAAGGTTGTTTTTCTAACGAGCCAGTGAGGTCACATCTACACTTCTGAGAAAAATGTTTAGAAGAAAAGAAGAGCGGTGCTACAATTTCTATGAGATGCTACTGGCATCTCACAGGTCACCACAGTTAACAGTAAGGCTTAGAACTGAAGATGCTCTTGTACCCAGCTTCTCAGGAAAATGATTGTGTTGTTTAGCCTTGACTGCTCAATCTGCCTGTGCGAGCAGAAATGAAGTGGATAAAAGCACCGTGGTTCTGAAGAGCACTCGAGCCCAGCTGTTAGCCTGGATCACACTCGCATTGCAGCACCAGCCCAAAATAGAACTGAGTAACAGGCGCCTCTGACTCTGCAGCTCTGCGGCTGAGGGAACAAGGGAAAGAAGCCTCAACTCAGAAATCAGATTGCAATTATCTTGTTTGTGATGCCATTAAGAAAGCAAGTGCTGCTGCTGCTGTCGTGGGTTTCAGACAAGAAAACACCATTCACATAACCAATACTCCTGTAATTTCCATGGATGCCAACCGTTACTAAGCCTGAATAGCTCTCTGCAAATTAAATGCTGTCCTGCCATTCTTATGAAGCCACCACTCACATATCGATTCAAAATACTAGCAATGTCCTGTGCTGCTGTTACAAGAAGAGCTGCGGTACTAAAGCCTCTCAGAAGTAGAACAGCTAAGCTCTAACTCAAGCTGAGAGAAACAGAGGTCGCATTTGCCAGGGTTACCTATTTGCAATACAGGTCAACGTGGTTTAACTGCAACAGCCAACCTGAGCAGCCAGAAACACCTTACAAGGAAAACCATCACACCAAGGTGACAAAGTAAGGCCAAATAAATAAGAAAAGCCTTTGCTCAAGATCTAAACAGTGCCTCTGAAAAGATTCAGTTCCTTGAGACCTCAGGAAAAACATTTTAAGAGTAGCAGAGCAGAATTCCGAGAATTCTCCCTCTTATCCTTCAGACTTATCTCAGCATACATATTACAGCCAACCAAGCTGACATCAGGCATGTTGTCATGGAAGAGCTGGTTCCTCAAATACCAAATGCTGATATGGTTTGTTACTTGCAGATACCATGTTGGTTTCGTATCCCCTCACCTCTTTTCTAGGGATACACATCCATCAGCTCGCTTTACAACTGTTCTTCAAACACAGGATAACTTTCCAAACATGTCTATTACCTGGGCAAGCCTGCTATGTAGGACCATGAATCCTTCTGAGGACTGTAAGTCTCGACTGAAGAAAGTGCTCCATTTTCATTCCTGCCACCAACAGCTACCAGCATGTCGGTAACAGCTCCCAGGTAGAAATCTACACGGCGCTGTCTCATGGAGGCGACCTGTCAAAAAGAACAACATGCTGATATCTTCAAACATCTGGTAAGCAAGCTGATTGAAGTATATTCATGTCTAAGGATAGAATAGTTCTTCCCATTTATCTGGAAAGACGAGCTACTGGTTTTGACCATTATATTCATAAAATACTTTTTCTGCAATAGCATTTACATAGCATTAATTTCCAAAAAAGGGGACAACAGGAAGCATGTAAGAGGAAGATTACGCTACAAATTCTGTATTACATAGGCTTCCTTCCAAAACTCTGCAAGAAACATAGAATCATAGAATAGTTAGGGTTGGAAAGGAGCTTAAGATCATCCAGTTCCACCCCCCCTGCCATGGGCAGGGACACTTCACACTAAACCATGTCACCCAAAGCCTCATCCAACCTGGTCTTGAACACTGCCAGGGATGGAGCATTCACAACCTCCCTGGGCAACCCATTCCAGTGCCTCACCACCCTACTGGAACCACTCAAAACCACAACTGAACCACATGGGATGATTGGTTCATATGGGGATCTGCACTGACCGCAGGGTTTTACAGCGGACTGGAACTAAATAGCTTGTTCTAAGAGATATTTAGTACAGAGACACTGGACAAGAATCAAAGACTTTCTTTTTACATCAGACCCGGTTTTGATTTAGTTGTATGTGCTCCTGCTTGAGAAAGATGAACTAAACAATCGCCTCTCTAAATCCATTATAGCATTAGTCCCAAAGTACTCTTAAGAGTTGCAGGTGGATGCTGACCAAGAATTTCACAGATAAGGCATCCAAATCTCAACTGAAGTTGAAAATCTGCCCCAAACTCTTCTGCTGTGTGCGTACACGAAGAATCCACAAAGGGTTCAAGTAGCTGCTTTTTCAGCTTAAGTAGCTTTATTTCCAAGTGTTGCCATGTTGGCTGTTCTAATGAGCCCTGTCCTTCCACCAGAAAGAAGAAAACACTCTAGACATAAAGGACTTTAAACAGAGAAATAATACAGCTCAAGTCTCACCTTTATCCACTGGTTACAGCGGGGATCATACCTATATAGCAGATTTGAAGCTGCATCCCCTCCATTGTCTCTTGAAAAGCTGCCTCCAGCTATGAAGATGAAGCCTCCCAAGACTGCGACACAGTGGTGACTTCGTCTGGCTGGGAGAGGGGTCTCTGCTACCCACTGCCCCTTTTTGGTGTCCAGGAAGCACGTATCATCACTCAGTTCCAAGCAGCGCTCTGAAACCTCCCCACCTACAAAGAGGAGCCTCTCCTCACAGGTCCTCAGGGCTGTCCGCTTGTTCTGCAGCACTGGCTGAGCTGTGACGTTGTTGTGATAGTGCACTGCCTCTTCTATGAACCCCTCACAGTTTGCTTCTTTGGGAAGAAGAGAGCAGACAGCAGGCTTGACTCGGTGGAGGAGATCACTTTTAGGTATCAAAGGAAAATGAATGTTATCCAGAACCTGGTAAGCCTCATTCTCCCTTTCCGGGTACTGGGTAAGCCACTGCAAGGCAGCCTGCAGCAAGTCGTGCTCACACTCCTGCTGCACACTGCTGCTGTTCAGGTATTGGCACAACTTCTGCAAGGAAATGTTCTGCAGGAAGTCCGGAGTGAAAGACAGCGTGCCAAAGTTCTTCAGGATGAAAGAGTCAATGTAGGAGTCAAGGCGCTTCAGGTTGTAAATAGAGGCCAGCTCTTGCAGGTACAAGTAGTTCTCCTCGCTGACTTCATTCTCCAGGTACTCGCAGCAGAAGTCGACCACCTTCCAGATCTGCAGCAGGTGAGCTGTTTCAAGCACATAGTCGATATTGCCGCCATCTAAAGACAGCTCACTGCCATAAAGGAAATCTACCACAGCCTTAAGTCCAATGTAAGAGGCTCCAAAAAGTTCTACCTCTTTTTGGTGGGCTTCTCTCATACCAATGGTGAACATAGAGTTGAAGTAGTCGCTGCAAACGGCGAGGAGGTTCCGATGGGCAGGGACTCTCTGTTCATCCACCACGAGGACAATGTCACAGAAAAGGCCTCGGTGCCTCTGCTCATTCAGGCTCTGAAGAACCAGACTGGAGTGGTCATCCCACCTGTACACCTGGAATGAACAAACACTATTAGGTGGGTGTTATCGTCACCAAGATAAACTTCAGTGTGTACAAAAGCATCTCCCCATCAAATCACTCGAGAAAGCTCACTTTGTGATGCACATTTCTGATTAATTCAGATTGAAGCAGTTGGCAAGCAACATAGTACAAGCACCCAAGCCCCCTCACCTTCACTTTGAAAGGCCTATGCAGACTTTCACTGCTTCCTACTCCCCTTATATATATAATTTACTCCCACCTCCTCCACAGTTCTGCATCTAAACCTCTTCCCTGATGATTTATACAGGCAGTTTTCTGAAACTCTTCCACTCATTGTCTTTGAGACATCTTGCTGACATTTCCTTTCTTACTTGTCCCCCAAATGACTCCTTACAGAGTTTTTCTAAACTGGGTTACTTGCTAAATGTATTGTTTGGGTTAGTGCTTGTTTGACAGCTACCCCCTCTTACATCCTTTCAGAACTCTGCATTTTCAAGTTTGTTAGGGTAAAATCCCTCTTTCTTTCTGTGTTATTACAGGCACACACACTGCATTAAAAAATAATAGCTGTTTATTTATGTGCAAAGCCACACATGTGGATAACTTATTCCCGTAAGACTTCTACTTGCTTCCAGAAGCCAAGGTAATCATATTCATTAAAACAAAGTATTTTTCTTTTAAAGAAAGGGGAAAATGCCCCCAGAACATGTCCATTAAGTGTCCCTATGGGATGCCTCTGGTCCAGACATTCTTTCCACCAACTGTACGTGCCACAGAGCTTTTGAGGCAAACAGTGCTTGCTTCTTTCTCACAGACTCGCATTACTAGTTTTAAGAAGAACCAAAATGGAAATGTTTTGTTACCCCTTGAATGTCCTGCAGAACACGTACTGAAGGGGCTGGTCACCCCAGTATGTCAGGCAATGCAGCTTTTAGGGCCTTCCTTCCAGAGGAATGGAATGCTTGATGGTACTGTCAGCTGCCTTGTGATCTCTCTTAATAAAAGTCAGGTTAAGTTAAATGCAAATATGTAACTTTAATTACCAAATCCAAACCAGGCAGAGTTGCAGAGCCTGTAAGAACATGCAAGAGAAATGAAAGGAGGTGGAAAGGAAGCACATCTTTAAGTTAGCTCTGAACACTTCTGGCTTTAAGACCCTGGCTCTTGTCCGGTTCTATACCCTCAGGCTGCATTCCCTGAAGTGACATCCTGAAAGTCACCTCAGCCCATATCTACATGGCAAACCATCACACAGATGACCTGAGGTCTCTTCAAGGCTCTCAGGCATTCAACCTTTCCCTCACCAAACTGTTGCTTTTCCTAGAAACCCTTAACTATCCGTGGCTTTCCTGGTTTCCCAAACAGAAAGCACATCATTATTGCTGCCTGGCTAAGCTATTAATGGGTTGGTTTAAACACAGTGAGACAACCTCCTACCCACCTGGGTGGGAAAGGTTCACGTCGTAGAGCCATGTGTTTCTTCCCTGCATGCAACCCTTGCTTTAGATATGTGCTTTGTGTATATAATTTGGTAATTGTGCTTCTATCTGATGAGATAACCAGGACTGAGGCATACAGCTCACCGCTGGTCAGACATGATGGCAGCCAACCTTCCCGAGCTAACACCAACATTGGGAGCCTCACCTCTTACGTCTGCCTTTAGCAGTCAGTGGTACAGTGACAGGCATTCCACCAATGGTGAGATCCAGATTAATAACCAAACGTGCTGCTGTTAGCGTGACAGCCCAGTTAGTTTTGCTTATGCTCTTCTCTAAACAATGGAGACCAACCTGCCAAAAAGCCTTCTGTTGGAGTAGCTTCATACATGCAAAGGCACAGAGTTACACCAATGTGACAAGGCTTCACTAATTATAAGTTTCCTGGGCAAAATCTTTTTAATTTGCCTTATACTCATTGCCTCATCAAATCTCTGAACCTAAAAAGGGATTTATGGGATAAACAACAAGGTAACTTTGACTGAGGAGTAGAACTTCCAGACATCTGTATCAGAAATAAATACGGGGTTTAAGGACTGTAAAGTATTTTACCTTCATTTTTTGAGGTTGAGAAGAGGTGGCATCATACAGGAGCCCAAGCAGAGATGAGGGGATGGAGGAGATGGGAAGAAGAATAAATATGGCAAAGGACAAGACAAACCACTGATCTGTGGCAACCACGGTATAGGAGAGTGAATGAATAGACAATAACATGTTACAGCACCCTCTTGTGCATCTGCCTCCTGGAGGACAGTTATTGGATTACATATTCCCTCTCGTCTCTAAACTGGCTGATCATTTCTCTGTAATATTCTCTTAATACACGATCATGCATAACAAGATTACAACAGAACATAAGATTTGCCAGAGATCCCCATTGGCTGGATGTTGAGTCAGCATCATCCTTACCGCAAACACGCTTGATAACTTGTCCTCCTAAAAGACTTGTTACCATATAGAACTGCTGCTACTTCAGGAATCAAGCATTAAATCATGACGTATGGTGTTGGATGGCCTCAGAATACATTAGCATGTTTCAGCCTCTTACCAAGTTCATTTGTTCAGTGAGCAAGTGACAGAAGCTGAAAGCTACATGCTCCAGAACCCACACTAGTTTTATACTAAACATGAACATCTTTCTCAAGCTATTTATATTCTGTAGAACAGCTTTAGCTTTATCCAGTAATTCTAAGTTTAACAGATAGTGACAGCTGCTGTCTCAGCAAGAAAATAAAACAATGCTGTCTAGTTAATTAATTTTTAATGCAGTGAATTATTATTACATTCAGACTAAACCACTTAAATGGCAGACAGGATCAGCGCTCAAGGACAGATTACACTGGTACGGATGCATTTAAAAATTAGCCCTATTTACCTTTTATCCATCGTATCAGAGCAGTGTTTTAACTTCTTTTCAGACTCAAAGATCTAATTTCTTTCAGATCATTAATGCAGTACCACTACCCATCAGTGATGCAAGAGAAAATGAGGTTTGTTTCACTCAACTGTTGTAAGACAGATACAGCCACGGAAAGTTTCTCTTTTCTAGCTGTTGGTAGTACAAGGTACTTGCTCTGCAGCATCTGTAACCTACTGCTCACCCCAGAACAGAAAAGCAGTTTCTACTGGCATGAAACAAAGTGAACATAATAATTGCAGCTGATATCAACATCTTATACACCTTAGGCCATCATTCTTGTGACCTGCATAATGACCTGCCTAAGGTGGACTTCTGTGGATCCCCCCAACTAAAATCAATGTACTTGTGCAGACAGAGATGCTATGCAAAGAAAATCAGCCTCACAACTCAAAGAAAACATCTTGAGTTCACTGAAATAACCTCCGTTTGCAGGATCTAGACTCAATTTCATGCGAACCTAAATCTGAAGAGCAATCCCAGCTTTGCCTCTGTGTCTCACCTGGACTTTGTGAGATGGATCAGTGTGAAAAATTCCCAAAATAAACGCATTGCCTTCAATGACTGAATTTCTGGTGCAGCAAAAACACTGTGCTGCGATGATGTGGGTTTCTTTTCTGAGTTATGAGTCACGACAAGCAGATGCCTATTTGCTGTTGATTTCTCGGGGTTTTTGTTTGTTTTTGGTGTTGTTTTTTTTTTTTGGCAAATCCCTGGGTAACAACTTCTTCTACCAAAACATTTGAGCAAGCACATCACCATCTTCAATACCCCTTTTTAAACCTCTCAGTATCCAAAGTCCTCCAAAACATTTCGTTTCAAGGAACAGCCTTTACTACACACACACACGATCCTTCTTGTTATTTGTGTAACTTGGGTTGTTTTTTTTTGCAACACAAAACATACAAACCTTTGAGGACTCGCTTATCTTGTGCGGACGACAGATCCTGGTTTGCCTGGTTCCCTCCATGACAGCCGGCTCCGCAGCACTTCTGCAACGAAAGCAAAGCTGTTAGCCGCATACCAATCCTTTCAGGCTGCTGAAACCACGGCGTGATGAATAAATAACACGGTTAAGAAGGCGTGCACACCCTAACCTGAAAATCCGAGTTTAAAACAGGACGGTTTCATCGCTGCCTGGCGGTGTTATTAAAGCTCGGTTGTGTCAACAAGTTGGCTGTTGGTGTGTAACCAAAGACCACCGCGTGTACGCCTGATGGAAGTCATTTACTCACCAGTGCTCGCTACAGCGGGCAGAGGCAGGACCGCTTCCCTCTCACGGCCAAGCCAGGACACGCTTCACCCCCGGCCGACACCGGGCCCCGGGTACCTCCGGCACGGCCCCGGCTGCTCATCCTCATGGCCCTGCGGCAGCCGCGTCCACCGGAGCGGGAAAGAGGGAGCTGGGACGAAGCGGCAGCGCCCGGGGAGAAGGCTCCTGAGAGCCGGCTCGCAGCGGGAGCGGCACCGGGCACCCTCCCCTCAGGGCCGGCACAGGAAATGCCGCCGGTCCGAGCGGGGCGGGGCCAAGGCGGGGCGGGAAGCGGCGCCGAGGGAGGCGAGCCCGCCGGCGGCAAATGGCGGCCGCGCTGTGGGCCCGCGGGGTTTGTGGTGGCCTCTTGCCGAGCACCGGCCCGTGTCAGCCGCCTGCCGCTGCCCGGCTTTGTCTCGTTCATTAGGGCGCAGCGGGGTTTCACGTTAAAAACGCCTTGGTGGATAGCAGGGCTGATGGTACAGCTGCTTCTGCGTGAGGTAAGGTGCAAAGAGGTTGTGTGGGGACCCCACCGAGACCCATTTCAGTGCAGTGTTCTCCACAACACAAGTAAAGACCCCTTTGTTAACCCAGCAGTGCTGAGCGTCGTAAGGACAGCAAGACTCTGTGTGTGTGTGTCCAAGCTCCATCTGCTGCCACCAAGGACACCCCAGCTCAGACCCAGGATAAAGACCCTCAAGTCCAAAACCTACCTGGCTGACATCCCTAATGTCGACTGTGAGCCCTATTTTCACAGCAGCCCTTCCTGAAAGAGAAAGTAGTATTCTCTCCATTATCTTCTCTGCACAGAAAAGACACGAATAGAGAAGCAGGACCAGGGACAGCCGCATGGAAAGACCAGAAAGGCAGCAAAAAGGTGTTCTGGCAAAGAGCCACAGGAGGAAGGCACTAGCAATGTATTTTAGGAGGACAGCTAAGCCTCCTGGGGCACTGTGGCTGTGCAGAGCCACCCTGTTTGCTCAGCTCCCTCTCTGAGACCCTTGAACGTCATTAGTGCAATCCAGACAGCTAAATGTCAGTTCAGAAATCCAAGGCCTCATAGTGCTCGAGGCAGCTATTTGAGAAAGTCTAAAAGTCCTCTTTTAAGTCCTTTTACTTTCCCTATTTGTGCTTTCTCTATGAGGACTCCTTGGAGATGGAAAAATGCTTCTGCTGGTGACACAGGATGGAAAGATCCATATGCAGAAGATGTGTCTATATGAAAAGCAGAAGATGGGTCTATATGAAAAGCAAATCAGAACTCACCAAAGCCAGAAAAGTAGGTATTTTCCCCCTCCAGTTACAGCCTGATGAAACCTAGTGAAGTGTTTATTCTTTCATGCATTAAGAGGAAAAAAAATAATTAAAATAAAAATGTAATAATTAAAAGAAAAATTAAAAGACAAATGAAAATGCGTCAAAGACAAAGAAGAAAAGGGAGGGAAGGCACATGTTTCTGAGGCTAGAATCTGGCACAAGAGCATCAGGCATGAAGTTCCTCGCGAATATAAATCAAACCACAGGGTCACAGAGACCTAAACAAGGTTCAGATTTTCTCCTTTTAAGGGAAATGACATTTCAGCCACCCACTTCTACCCTAGGGAACATCTGGAGCTGAGGATCAAGCCTGAAAGGCCAAGGACAACCAGTGTTACAGCAGCAAGGTGGTGCCAAAGGAATGATAAATGGTGACTACAGGGGATAAAATATGTTTATGAGCAGATAATGGTCAGCATAAAGGCTTTTAAAAGAAGAAAAAGTGTTCCTAATGGCAGTTCCAAAAGAAAATCAATAGAAATTCAGAACTACTAATGTGTGATTATATTATCATCCACAGCCTGCAGTCTTGGGCATGATTCACCATGTCCTACCCTTGTACTGACTTCGGGAATATTTCTCCCTTCCCTATGACCTCATCTACACCACGGAGATGCACTGCAGCAACACGCTCATGTTTTGAGCCCTAATGCTCTGGGAACCTCACGTCATTCAGGAATAAGCCACGTTCAGGATTAGGGCTTCATGTTGCACAGCAGTAAATGGTGTGCCTGGTGCTTAACTCACACTTGGGCGATCTCGTTCCTTGGGATGTCTGAGAGCACCGAGGAGCTGTGCGTGTAAGGAGGCTTCTTACTGTTCAGGCTTTGCATTTACAACATATTGATGTGAGATAAATAATGAACATCTCACTGCAAACTTTAGAAGAACAACAAAAAAGTGATACTTTTCTATCCTGGAATGTAGTTTTTATTAAATTTGCGATGCGCAGCTCCCTGGTTTAAGGTAGAAACCCACCAACACACACAGGGACGGGTGTTTAAAACTCTGATCCCTGGTCACAACAGCAGCCGGTGACATTTATTCCGAGCTGAGCTCTGCAACATTATGCCTCTGTTTCTGCGGACATAAGACTGATCTTACAAGCATCCCTTATCCTACTGCATGAACCCTCCTAAGCGCATTGACTTACGTTAGATCTTGTGTTTCCAGCTGGCAGAGCCGGAGGACCAGCCCGGTAGGGGGAGATCGCTGCATCTCAAACGGGGTGAGCACACACACCCCGGCACACACATACACACACGGAGGAGCCAGGGCAATAGCGAGCTGTCACAGCCCACAGCGTCCCCCACACGCCCCCCGCCGGCGGTGTGGGGAGCCCGGCGCGGTCCCCGGCTCCCGCCGTGGGGCAGTGTTCACTCACACTGCCCGGCCCCGCCGTTGGCACGGTCCCCGTGTGCATCCCCTCTCCCGCCGCTCTCTTACCTGCTCCCCGGCTCGGCTACCTCCCGTGCGCCCGGCCCGGCTCCCGGCCCCGCCGCGCCCGCGGCGGCTGCAGCATCTTGCGCATCGCTTTTCGCCCTTTGCTCGTCCCAGCCGTCAGGGGCTGCAAAGACATCGGGGGGCTGCAGCAGTACCGGTAAAGCGCATCCCTGCGGCGGCCCCAGGGCAGGTGCCCCCCCCCCTCCACCACCACTAGCTCCCGGTCCCCGTCCCCGGCCTATTGCATCACTCCGGCCGCCCCGCCCGGCCCGGCGCACGGCGCGGAGCCATTGGCAGCCGGTAGCAGCGGGGCGGTCCGCGGCGGCGGCGGGCTCGGCACTGCGTGGCGCTGCGCGGGGCGGTGCGGTGCGGTGCAGCAGCGGTAGCGCTAGCAGCAGCAGCATCAGCGGCAGCGGACTCCCCCCGCTCAGCTCCGCGCCCCGCTCTTCCCCCCCCTCCCCAGCACGGACGGCCCCATGGCCACCAAAATCGACAAAGAGGCGTGCAGGGAGGCGTACAACCTCGTCAGGGACGATGCCACCGACGTGAACTGGTAAGTGAGCACGGTGCTCGGTGCCTTTCTCTCTGCCCCCTCCCGAAGGGGTGACTTTGATAGACATTCTCCTCATCCCTCTTCCCAAAGGACGGGTTTCAGTGTATTCTTCCCCATCTCCTCTTCCCCCTTTCTAAAGGCTGTTAAATGTATTATTCCCCCTCCCTTTCCCCTTTCCCAAAGGCTAACTCTTAAATGAATGATTCACCTCCCCTTTGCCCTGTCCCAAAGGCTGACTGTTAAACGTATCACTCCCCTTCTCTTTTCCCCTTCCCAAAGGGTGACTTTTAAATACAACGGCTCTACCATCGTCCCCGGAGACCAAGGGGTAGACTATGAAACCTTTAAAAGGAAGTGCACGGGTAAGCTCTGTCTTAATTCCCTTTAGCACCTTTTCATCTTGCTCGCTGCCTGGTGCAGGGAGGGGGGAAAGGATGGGGAAAAACTTGGGTAAACTGGAATTAGAGGTGCTGCTTCTTCGCGTCTGCGCTGTCCTACACGATGGGCTTCCAGCCGCCACCGAGTGCAACTCGCTGAAGTCCACCGTCCTGCCTGTCCTTTGTCTCACCCTTAACTTCAGGTCTGTTGGGCTCTTTTCTCCCCTTTGCACAGTTTTTCTTCGCTTCTCGTTTGTAAGCAAGATAAAACACTTGATTAGCATCGGTCTCCTTGGTCAGTGCTGCAGTTCCGAAGCAAAAAAGACTACATTTTTGTGGATAAAAAGATGCAGGCATGCAGATCATTTTGCAGTAGAACTCTTCTGTGTTCGTAGCGCTAAAGTAGCTGCAGTTAGAAGGCTCGCTTGGGTCTTTTAGGAACATTAAACCCAAGAAGAGAGTGGTTTTGCTGAAGGTCAGCTCGAACAATACAGCCCTGGAAACAGTCGTGTCTGTGGCGTTGCACAGCCGCAACAGTTGTGGCTCTGGGTTTAAACGTGGCAGTTGATTGTTGAACTGTTGGTTGTGGAACATTAACAGGAGAAACAAAGCCTGGGGAAAATGAAAATAAACTGAGGAATATTTAACTTCATCCTATCTTAACTTTTAACGTGTTTTACAAAAGTGGGCTGTGATTTTTCTCAAAGTAACTACTGGGGAGGGGGGGATTGTATAGCTTGTGCTCCTGCCTTGGGTGCTATTTAACAATGTCATAAAGTGGCATGAGATATGAAGTGTTTGTAACTAATACTGGAATATAACAAAGCTTTCCTCCCTCATCGAGTATTGTGGTTAACCTGTGCTTTACATACCTTTACTGTGAGGAGCTGTGTGCTGAGCAGTCTCTCCCTTCTCAAGGTGGGGTGAGTCCCGGAGCACTGCACTCAAGAGTACCACAGCCATTGCAACACCCGTGCCTGTCCAAATTTGGTCTGTCAAGTCCTAGGGCTTGGCTGTATTTCACTGAGGTGAAGGGGAGAACTCCCACTAACTTCAGTGAGGGCAGGACCAGTCTGCTTGGTCCATAAATATCGTAGGAGGAAAATACACTCTAGTCCTTGGAAAGCAGCCACTAAATCAAGACGGTTTAGACTGCTCTGCTATGGCATTTGCAGTGGGGTCTTACTAGGATTAACACACCTACTTTCTTGTAGCTGGTCTTGAGACCGTGGCAGGGGAGATACTCAAAACAAAAAAGATCCTCTTGTAGCTGATGTCAGAAGAGCTGATGCCCTGTCCTGCAAGAAATGCTTCCCACTCAACTCTTTTTAATGGGCAACAAATGGGAAAGATGTATTACATGGCATACAGGGAAATAATACAGGGCTCAGCACTTCTGATGCTCACACCAACCTCATCTAAGGGGTTAGCAGTTTTCTTTCAGTATCTAAGTGCCAAGGTTCTCTGTCTCCGCTTGCAGCCAAAATAACAGCATCTCCAGACATCTGAGGCTTGCAGAGGAACCTTCGCCATTTGTTTTCTGTCCTTGTTTTTAAGGACAGAAGATAAAGACTCCATGTCATATTCTGTTTGAACAGGTTTTTAACGTTTTGTTTGGAGTGGTACACTCTCAAGAACAGTTCCTATCTTCCCTTCTATAGCAAGGGGAATACTTTTATCAATAGACTAAGCAGGCAGAGAGCAGGCACCGGCTGAGCTGGGTTGGAGGCATATAACAGCTAATGGAGGCACATACTGAACTGTGGAATATGGTCAGTTTTGTCTTCTTGCCATTGTTTTCATGTGCCACATCCTTATTTGTAAACAGGGTATTAGAATTTAAGGAAAACTTGTTTTATACCAGCAAAGTGCCAAGCTGGCCCAGTACTGAAGCATTTTTACAGCAAAAAGTAATTTTTGCATATTTTAGGCATAAGCATGGAAAGGGAAGAGTTAGAAGAACATCTGTGGGGTTGATGGTGGCCTGTTCTTAACCTTTAATGTGGAACTAAATCCCTTATAGCTGCTCCTTTGCTCTCTGTTCCTTTTCCTTCTTTCCCTGTTCCTTCTCATGCACCTGGTACGGGCTGCTCCTTGGCAGACGAGGGGCAAGAGGTTCTTCTCAACCTACCTCTGGAACACAGTTGCTGGAGGCAAAGGCAGGTACTGAGCACTGGAAAGGATCTTCCTCCACCCAGGAACCTGGTGCAGCAATTGGGGAGGCAAAAGACACAAGTTTCAGTGCCTCCATTTGTTGCAGCATCTTCTCCTGGACCACTAGACACAGTCA